CATAAATATTTCAGTATGTGTCTCTAAAAGATGACTGAAAAAACACATACCTAATACCTTTACTGCACCTGCAAAATTAGAATTTCTTAGTATTTTCAAATTCCCTGATTGGGTTCTCAGAGTTCAAATTTCTCTGATTATCCAGTTCAGATGCGCCAAACACCCAGAAACATGGATTCCCAGATGGAATTTTGGAGAAGGTTCTATGAGGCTTTATGGGGAAGGTTGTAAGATCACTTTCAAGAACAAAGTAAATTTTGCATACCTGGCTCCGTGTGTGTGCTTTACCTGCATCACTCTCTTAATCCTCAAATCAACCTTGTGGACTAGGTTCAGAACTGCTGAATAAGTGGCCGTGGTCACATACCTGGTGACGTGGTTAGTATGCGAACCCAGGTCTGTCGAACTCTAAAGCCTCAGCTGCAGAGCATCACCACATGCCCTCAGCCGCGCCCTAAGACAGGGTGAGGGGAGCCGGTCCCCCAGAGACACTTCCTTCCTACTCAGTCATTTCCGGATGGAAGGCTGAAGCCAAGATATCCTGAGAATGAGCTGTTCATTCAGGGCAGGCGGGAAGAAGAGAGAAGGAATCCCTTTCACTTAAAAGAGACAGACTAAAAACTGCCTGGAGTCTGAATCTCAGAATGTGCTGAAATACCTCCAGCTGCAATATCCCAGGTGGGATGCATCCTCTCCTTGCACCTGCTTCTCTCCCAGCTCATTAGCATCTCCCTGCCATTCCCAGGAGGAGCTGACAGTGGCCGACCTTCCTGGCTAATGAAGGCTGCTTAGCAACAGGGAGCGGGTTAATAAAGCCCTGGTGTTGTTCCCAGTGCCACAGACTCCACCCCCCCCATCTCCCATTACAGCTCATCCTTAGCCTGAAGCAACCCTCAGGTGGACCAATCTGCCTGGAAGGGAGGGAACCTGAGGACTGAGGGGCAGGGCTGGTCCGGCCTGGCCCGGCCCCAATGCCTGTGGCCAGGAAAGGAGACATTTATGAGTCTCAGAATCTGCTCTGCCAGGCCAGGAACTTCTCTGTGGGCCTCGTAAACCCCTTCTACCCACCAGAGGTTAAAATAACTTCAGCACCCAATCTGAATGCAGCAAAATAGACACTGCGGAGGCAGACACTCCCAGACCTGAGCCATGAGCCAGGGGGTGGGGGGTCGGGGGAGGTCCAGAGAACTGAGGCTGCCCCAGTGCTCCTGGGTTGAGGCCTAAATTACCCCAAGACCCTTGACGGGAAGAGAGTAACGGTGCCCTCTGTGAGCATGTGTATTACCGTTACAAATGCAAGTTCAAAGGCAAAACTCAGGACAATCTGCTATTTAACCCTGACCTCGAGGTACCCACAAGCAAAAGTTAAAAGCACTTTGCTGCCTGGGGGAAGGCGTGGCAGGAGATAACAGCTTACACCTGGGGGTTCAAGAAGCCACAGGGAAATAGGAAACATTCATTTCACTCAGCAGTAGTCTTTACATTCAAAGTTTCAAAAACCAGATTATGGAGCAAAACGCAAATTTCACAGGACTTTTTAAGACAAAGAAAAGATATCAAAGAACATTCTCCCACACTGGGATTTGGGCTATTCTCCAGCGGGAGGTGCAGTCACACAGGTCCTGATCCTCTGAGAGCACACAGGTTACCCCTCCCTGCCGGCCACGTCTGCCTGAGAAGCTTCCTAACAAAGTTTCCACCTGCAGAGGCCTGACGAGCTTCTAGACAGACAGGTTTAGGAAGGACCATAGCAAACACAGAACAAATGCACACACATTTCTTATGGTCCCGGGAGTATCGCTCCTCCCCCTGGGTAACCATGGTCTGGTGCAACCTTCCTGGGTTTGCACAGGGCCAGGTCTTGACCCAGAGATTCTTCAGTTCCATTTCTAAGGCTCTCCTGGAAGGTGCTGTTTCGGATACAAATATCAGTATTCTAAGCAAGCTCAGGGAAGCTCATCTTGCTCAGGCCCTGCCCTCTTCATTCACCCTCTATCCCTCCTCTGCCAAGAACAGAGGGGTCAGGACAGAGCAGAGGGGCCCAGGACCCCAGCGCTCCCCAAAGCTCTAGGGAGAGGGGTCACTCACTCACCAGTTAACACAGGCTCCACAGCCTTCACTCCGCCCCCTTCCTCTCTGCACTCCCATTTATCCTAGAACAAAGCTGAATTTTGGATGTGGGTAGGATGACCTCAAGCCCGAGGGTAAGACTAAACACGCACTTCTGAACATCTCCCCAGGGGGTGAAGGAGACTAGCATACCAGAATATCAAAAAAGCCAGAAGAGTGGAGTTTTCCATCAACACATATCTATTCTCTCTGCCTCCCCGAGGAATCCCTGATTATGATTAGGAAAAACGTTGATAATCAGTGCTTTAAATGACCCTTATTCTGAGCCTGAATTGGGATCCACCTCACTACTGAACACCATCTTGAACAAAGTATAAGGACTCCTTTCCCCGTGGGTCTCAGGTGCCCCAGCTCGACTTAGCTTTATACTTTTGGCGGCCCTTCCCGCTATCATTCCCTTCAGTGACTGTGCACTGAGCCCAAAGCAGAGGCAGCAAACTGGCAGAGGCTTGCAGATGCCTTTTGTTTAGCCCACACAATTTTTTTTTAAATGGGAACTAGTTATCAGCATTTAAAAACTGGGACATTTGGGGAGGGTATAGCTCAAGTGGTGGAGCACATGCTTAGCATGGAGAAGGTCCTGGGTTCAATCCCCAGTACCCTCTTCAAAAATAAACTTAATTACCTCCCCCTCCACCAAAATAAAATAATTAAACAATACAATAATAAATAAAGTATTTTTTAATTGGGACATTTCATATAAAAACTCAGAATTCTGACTTCTCTTAAAATAAAACAAAGGCCGTGGTGAGCCAGGCCAACATTCCTGCAGGAGTCGTCGTGGGTGCCCTCTTCAAACACCCCAGTCCCCACCACTGCCTGCTGTCCCCAGATCTGGTCAGTCTCTTGCGTGGATCTTTCTTGTCCGACCCTATGGGCATTTAAGTTTGCACTCTGACCCAGGCACCTCCTGAGATCCAGGAGAACAGGGCTCCTGTTGCTCCTGTGCTGACCTTAAAATCCTGGAAACTTGGGTCTATTTCATAGACCCTTGTTCTATGTCAGTGACTGAAACTGGATGAAAGTAGAAGAATCGTTTCTTTTGCAGGTGATATCCCTGCCTGCTGGCAAAAACCCTGGGCTTCCAGGCAAGAGGCAAAAGTGAAATCCCCACTGCTTCCCCGGGGCTCCTGGACTGATCAGAGGCGAGCTGACAGTTTCTTCTCACCCTAATGGGCCTGACAGGGGGCCACCCACAGCTTTTTTCCCTGCCTTTCTTCCCCCATTCCCCCAAGGCCGCCCACATGCGGCGCCCATACACAAGCTGTTGGTGCTATTTTGTTCTGTTTTCTGTTTGCTGTGTGTGCTCTGGACGAAGCCTAGCACCAAGCCATGCCTAACTGGGGCCACCAGCAGAGTCCCTCCGGTGACAATGACAGACACACAGTACAAGTGGAAAAAAGCAGGGTTCCAATACTCTTCAAAGTCGCTTACTGCAAGACTCACATGCTTTTCCCCAGCATGGGTTCTGCCCAAGAAAAGGCGAGATCAGATTGCTGCTGCAAACCTGGGAGTTGTTATATCATCTCAAAGAACCAGGGACACTTACCCAAAAGGGAGACAGTAGGACCCTGAATCCTGCAAACCTAGTTTCAGCCTTAACATCCAAAGGAGAAGGAAAGACAGACATTTTTCTGAGCTCTTACAGTGCTAGGAATGATCACATGCATCATCTCAATCCCCACAAAAATTCCTTGAGGTGGGAATCATCACCGTTTTCAGAGGAGCAAAGTAAGGGTAACAGTGTTACTCAGGCGCTGCTCACAGGCTGCCTCTCCTAGTCTCCCTCCCACGTCTCTGCTTTATTTTTCCTGGTAGCTATTACCATACCTGTTACTGCAGGGTATATTTATGTGTGCATTTGTTTTCTGTCTGTCTGCCCACAGAATGTAAGCCCCTGTGGCAGAGACTCGCTCCGTCTTGTCACTGCTGTCTCCCTACCTGGAGAACAGTGCCTGGCACCTGCTGGACCTTCAGTGTTTGCTGCTGGACTGATGGGAAGGGCAGCTCTATTGGCCTCCCCACACTACTGTCAAAACTGTCCCTTTCCTTCTCTCCTCCTTTCATTCCTTTCCCTCAGAAATGCACAGCCTCCCAACCACAACACCAAACACCAATCTCAGAGGCCAAGGAAAATACAAAGATGGCAAATGGAAGGTCAAATTCCTAGAAATCCAAGAAAATTCAGTGGTGCGTGTATACAGGCTTGCTCCTACAAAGGCAAAATGTTCATGTTGAGGAGGAAGCAACAGTTTATTAAGGACTTTCTAAGGCAAGAAGGCTTTGGCTCCCCCTCCTACCCTATACTCATGCTATTTTGCAGTCAGTTAAGTGCTTGGAGATTGAGATGCTGGAGAAACACAGGGGGATTAATTAGAAGTAGAGATGGTGTAGAAAGCATCCAAAAGCACAAAACTTTCCCCAAAGTTAAGGTAAGGATAAAGCAAAGCAGTGCATCTCAAACCCAGCTACTTAGGACACTGGCCCTCAAAGGTGGTCTCTGGACCAGCAGCATCCGCAGCATCTGTGAACTTGTTAGAAATGCAAATTCTCAGGCCCACCCCAGACGTACTAGAATCAGAAACTCCAGGACGTAGGAATCTAGTTTCAGGAGCCCTTTGGGTGACTCTGATGCACGTTAAACCTTGAGCACTACTGTCCTGGGCCACCAGACATAGATTCCTGGGCCCTGGAGACGCTGATTCAGTAGGTCTGGGATGACGCCCAAGGAGATTTCAAAAGCTCCTGAGTTGATTCTGACTTGCAGCCAGATTTGGGAACTACTGAACCCGAGGACTCACCTCTCCCTGGACCCCTGGACAGTGGACTCAGTTTTCAAACCCATCTCCCATTACCCCCCAGTCACTCACCACACAGAGCAAGGATGTGGCTGCTATCTTCATGCACAAACTTCCTGGTGACAGCCTCCTCCATGATTTGCTTCACCTGTGGATAAATGGGCAGCATTGTTATTAAGTGATTGATAGACTGATTGATGGACTGAAGACCCATGAGGATGTAAATAGCTTGGCTCTGCCCTCCTGGTCTGGGTTCAGACACCCACAGAGTAGAGGATAGAGATGGGAGAGGTGAAGAAGCAAAGTTTCTTCAGTACAGACAGCTCCAAGCATCTTGGAAAGGCAACCCGGCAAATTCAATGCAGACATTCTACCCCAGGAGGAAGTGCCCTGCTGCAGAGAACAGGAATCAGCGGCTGCTTGCTCATCTGTACTTAGCTGCAGAAGGGCTTGTGGGCAGACACACCATCCTTTAGGGACAAATTGCCAGTACAGGCTGCAGATAAACAACCTGACTCTCCTCTCCCTTCTTCAAGGGTAGGGATAGGTCCATCCAGGCCCTCAGGGACACTCCCCACATGTTCACAAGCCCAGCCTTTTTTCTGTCTAGGTAAAACCCTGATGTTTGGGTTCCTACTTGGGCCTAAAAGCTTCCAAATACCTTGTAGGTAAGCAGTCACAATTGTCTTTAGAAAGCACTTTTAAAAACTTTTAAATTGAAGCACAACAAACATACAGAAAAGGGTATATATAATTAATTACATAGCTCGAAGAATTTTCACAAATTGAACATATCTATGAAACCGGCATCCAGATCAAGAAACAGAACATGTGACCAGCACCCCCAGACTCTGCCATGTTTCCTTCTAGTTACCTCTCCCCTCAAAGGCACCCACTATCCTGATTTCTAACATCATAGAGCATTTTCGTCTTTTGTACTTTTTATAGATGGAATTGCTCAGTGTGTAGTTTTTGTGACTGGGTTTCTTTTGCTCCCTAGTGTGACTGTAAGGGTTGTTCATATTGTGCATGGAAGTGCACTGTTCATTCCCCATTGTGTGAACACCCCACAATTGACTGGCATTTGGATAGTTTCCAACTTGGAGCTATTATGGATAGTGCTGCTATGAACATTCTAGATATGTCTTTGGGTGAACATGGGTGCTCATTTCTTTGGATTTATATTATTAGGCAAGGAATTTCTTTCTTTTTTTTTTTATTTTGTGGGGGAGGTAATTAGGTTCAGTTGTTTTTAGAGGAGGTACTGGGGATTGAACCTAGGACCTTGTGCATGCTAAGCATGTGCTCTTCCACTTGAGCTATACCCTCCCCTGGCAAGGAATTTCTGATGAACACATTCTGCATTATTAGTACAACTCCGAAGCAGTTGTACCAATTTACACTCCCATCAGCAATACACGGAGTTCCAGTTGCTCCCATCACATAAGACAACCACTTTTGATGCCCTGAGGGAACCTGCCAGGAGACAGATACTAATACTGAAGATTAGAGGAATGGATTATCTCAGCCCAGTATAAAATCTCACAGATAAAGTAAGCTCTGGGCAGAGCTAGTCTTTGCCATTCTTTGGACAGTGTCCTAGGTCCAGTGTCCTGATGCTACCCTTGCTCCCAAGGCCCTCACCTCAGACTGTGAGTTTAGAAGGTAAGAGAGTTTCTAAAGCCTAGAGAGGAGGGAGGAAGGACCTGGAGTCTCCTCCCTGCTGGAAAGTGCTCATGGTTAGCAGTTAGGTAAAGGAGGGGGGATCAGATCGATCCTGCACTCTAAACTGTTAAAAGCTTCCTCGATTACTTCCCAAGGGGTATCTGCATTAAACAGAGCATAACATCACAGCTCAAAGACCTGCAGGCATCTGAAGCAGGCCTCTGGGATTTTTGGATTAGGAGGAACTACAGATGCCCCCAGAATTATACCCCAGGTCCTCTGTGAAAGGCCAGGCTTGTATACAATTACCTCCACTATCTCTACCTGTGGGAGAAGGAAGGGTATTTCTCTTGTAATCAAGCACTGAAGGGGAAAGGGAACTCAGAGTTCACAGCAGGTCAATTTTTCATCAGTAATAAACATAGCTGTGGCAGATTCTGGACGTTTCTGACATTTGTTTAGGAATCATTCTTGGAGTAATACAGACATCCTTCTAAATACTGTCTTTACCACAATCTTTCCAGTCATCCCTGACTAACCCCAAATTTGGAGCACACCAACAATCCTAGCACATAGTGTGGGTATGGCCACATTTTTGTTCTTGTTTATACTGTTCATATAAGTCTCTGTCAGTAGACTGTTTCCCTGAGGATAATCACTGAGATTTGAGATTTCTCTTTTCCTTAGGGAGACTAGAGTTTGGGGCTCAAATGCTAATTTGGCATACTCCTTGCCTAAAAAAACTTTCTTGGCCACTTCACAGGAAAGGCACAATGGAGCTTCTCAGACACAGATGGAAAGGTGATTGCATCAACTACTTCTTTGCCAACAAGAAGTAAGGAAACAAATGTTAGGGCACAGTAGCCAGGTCATAATTAATGCAGGAGAACCATCTAGAGCTTTCCAGGATTTTATAAGAAACCAGAGTCTTCTCCAGTCCTGAAACTCTAGGAAAGGGTACAGAAACCAATATGGTAAACTTTTATATATGAGATAAAGATCATTATCCCTATTTTAGAGATGAATAAACTGAGACCCAGAGAGGTTAAGTAACTTATTCAAGGTCACACAGAGCTAGGTCCAGACTATTCCAAAGTTTATGCATTTCCATCACACTCTGCAGGTTCCAAGATCAGTAGATTTATTTATCAAATAGTCATTGAGTGCCTACTGTGTGCCAGGCATGGATAGAGTCCTGGACAAAACAGATGGGTTTCCAAAAAAAAAAAATAGGAGAGGGCATAGCTCAGTGGTAGAGTGTTTAGCATGCACGAGGTCCTGGGTTCAATCCCCAATACCTCCATTAAATGAATGAATAAATAAAAAACCCTAATTACCTCCCCCTCAAAAAACAGATGGGTTTCCTGCCCTCATTGAGTTTACACAACTGGCAGGTAGGTAGGTGGGAGGAGTTCAGGGCTCCAGAGGCTTAATCCATTCTAATCCACTCTGTGGGTTTGAGCTCTCCAGCTCTCACATGGGGGTGAGTCATTCATATGGGCATCCTCCTTCCGACGAAATTGAAATGGGCTTTAGGACAGGGTCAAAGTAAGGGACATTAGTACAGAGGACTTTTTCTCTTTCTGACATGGGCGGGGGGGAGTGCTCCTCAAAAGAGGAAAAAAATCTTAGTCTTATAAGCATTCTCAAAAATCCCATGGCCTCTGAGTAGAGAGGTGGGCGTGGAGTGAGAAGCAGTGAGGTGTGCGGTGAGTCCTCCGGCAGCTGCGACTCAGTTCCCATAAAGATAATCGAGTGGGGTGTAGGGCAAACCGGAGCTACGCCCCAATTCTGAGGTTTAGCGCTGTAGGATGCCCGCGCAAGGCCCCGCCCCCTCCCCAGGCGGAGCGGGCAATGAATGGGTAGCCTCGGTTTTCCAGAAATCGCCGCCATCCCTCCCCCGACCTCGGTCTCCCAGCACTGCTGCTGTCACAGGGCGGGGAGCTGCGGAATCGCGGCGCAAACAAACCCCTGAGAGCCGGCCTAGCCCCTGGGGCCGAGGGGAGCTGCCCCCTGATCCGGGAGTGGGACGGGAGCCGCAGCGAGTCCGGGACCCCGCCCCCGCCCGACCCAGGCCGGGGCGGGCCAGCGCAGATCTTTTTGTACCCTGGGCCGCGCAGGCAGGGACGCGAACCCCAGGGGGTCTGTGCCCCGACTTTACCTCCTTTTTCACGTTCCACAGCAGTTTCTCTTTGACTGCGTCCTCAGCGCTGCCCATCGTGCGGCGGCTGGCGGGGAGGAGGTGACCAGAGATCCCCTCAGCCCCCCACGCGCCCTGGCCGCCTCCGCGCCTGTAGGTTCAGCGCCCCACGCGCCAGGCTGAACACCCGCCTGCCGCGCTCCCTGCCCGCCGCCGCCGCAGCCACTGCCGGGTTCTGGGCTCCGCAGCCATCTTCTGAGCCCCGCACAGACGTCAGGAGGCTGGCCCGGCCCCTTCCCACAGCTGGGGGCGGGGGGGTGCGCTCACCCACTGGGAACCCATGGCAACGCACCCGCTCCCGCCCCGAGGGCGCGAACCCGCATTGTGAGCGCCAGCCGCTGAACCAGCACAGCGCCCAGCGGAGAGGCGGGGCGCGCACTTAGGACCCCGCTGTTTAGGAGAGAGTCGCTCGCGCCGGAGCTGCTCGCATCCAGCTGGACGCCCCCCTGCTTCCTACCCGCTTATTTTCCCGACGTGAAGGGCCGGGGTACCCCGCGCCTCGAGTCTGACCACGGGGAAGCCGGTGTTAGTCTCATGGCTGCGAAAAGGCTGCGGAACACCATCGTTTCTCCAAACCTCCCTGCCAGCAGGGCGTCTTCAGTTGCAAAGCTCGTGGGAAGAGGGATGGGAACGCAGCCGCCGCAGCCCGCAGAGGCCCGGCTTGTCCTGAGGGCACGGGAGTCATGGTCAGCCGTCCCTCCCCCGAGGGGTCACCACGTCCCGTCTGGCCCTTCTTGCAGCTATGTGGAGGGGTGGGGCGGGGTGGGGGCCCGGGTTGGGGTAACGGGGACCAGCTGGAACTTGTAAGGAGTCCGTGGAGGTGAGACAAGCCCACGACTTGCCTTGTAGACTTAAGCGGCCCCACCAAGGAATTGTGGGAGAAACCGTTGCTGAAAGTGACAAAGGACACCTGCTGCTGCAAACTGAGGAGCCTAAAGCTAGGTGAGAGGAGGCGCTTAGCCCTCTATCGCAGGGCTGGAGAATCTTCCTAAGTGATGCAACTTGATAGCGCAAAAAATGAAAACACAAGGGACCGAAACAGCCCTCCGAGACTAAGAGCCCAAACCTCGAGTCTACATCCGGCGTTTTAAACCCCCTAACCGCAGACCGCCGCGTGGGAGAAGTTAAGGCAGAGATTTTCTTTGGAGACACGGGAGCCGCGCTCTCAGAGGCTAGTGGGAAAGACCATCGCGAGAAGACGCGAGGAGCCCCGCCCCGCCAGGGGAGGACACGCCCCCAAGGAGGGGACCGGAAGCCCTCGGTCTGGCCCGGAAGTAGTGCGGACTTCGTACACGTGAGCGATAGCATGGCGGCCCATCGCTCCGGCCCGCTCAAGCAGCAGAATAAAGCTCATAAAGGCGGGCGGCATCGGGGTCGGGGATCTGCGCAGCGGGATGGCAAGGGTGAGAAGATAGGGTTGGAGGAAGAGGGGCTGTTTAGTCCATATTAACTGCTTTGCTCCATTCCCAGAATGAGCTCCTACCTCGGGCCTGGACCCCGCTCAAAGTCTCTAAGGAGGGCGGAGAGGGGTCCCCTATCTTGATCGTCTACTAGTGCCCTGTGCAAGATTCGTTCCTAATCTCTTTCCAGGCCGTCTAGCACTGAAAACCCTAAGCAAGAAGGTGAGAAAAGATCTCAGCAGAGTAGACCAGAGGCATCGCGCCAGCCAGCTCAGAAAGCAGAAGAAGGAGGCGGTGAGAGAAACGGGGATTGGTGGATGGTGTGGCTTCACGACCGTTCTAGGCGGGTAATGCCTTGAATTAGAAACTGACCCTGGGAAGGGACCGGGGATGGAGAGTAACCCTAAGGCACATGTCAGGTGTGCAAGCCCAGACTCATGCTATAGCATTCTTTGTTTTGGCTCCTAGCTCCTGCCTCCTCCCTTGGCATACAGGACACCTTTTACAGGAGAGATGCTGGTTGGAGGGTGGAGGTGGCATCCATACTGCTGGAAATGCAATACTGGAACAGAGTACTGAAACACTGAGATGTTCTCTGATCCTTTCTGCCCTCAGGTTTTGGCAGAGAAGAGACAGCTGGGCAGCAAGGATGGCCCTCCTCACCAGGTACTGGTGGTGCCCCTGCACAACAGGATTTCCCTGCCAGAGGCCTTTCGGCTGCTTCAGGATAGGGACACTGGAACAGTACATTTGAATGAATGGGGAAGCACCCATAGCTTCATGCTGTTATGCCCCCACTTGAAACATCGGTGGTTTTTCACAGCTGCAAGGCCAGGTTAGAGTATACAACAGTACTTTCTATCATTGTGTTTTGAGTATTAGTGATAATTTTTTTTAGTATAATATGCCAGTGTCAACCACTTCTTCTTGCTGACTTTGTCTTCTATTTCCAGGGGATCTGCACACTGTGTTAGACATGGCTAAAGTGGCTGATACTATCCTGTTCCTCCTTGATCCACTAGAAGGCTGGGATAGCACTGGAGATTACTGCCTTTCCTGCCTCTTTGCTCAGGGCCTTCCCACCTATAGTAAGTGAATTGGGAGTATTGGAGACCAAGGAAGAAAGTTAATTAGCATTTATTGTGCACCTATAACTTGCTGAACACTATACCTGACACTTGATACAACTGGGGTTATATTCAGCTGATCGTGGATTATAGCTGTATGGCCTAAACTTGGTCCATTATTTACAAGTTACCTGTCAGGGTACTTTTTTATTTCTGGACTGCTCTTTCCCCAAAGAAAGAAGAACGTGAAGTTTGGTTTTACTATGAGATTTCTTTAGGGTAGCTGATGTTGGGTTTCCCAGTAATCTCTGGGCTCACAACTGAACTGTTAGCTCATTTGTGAACTGCAGAGGGGATTTTAATAGACTGAAGCAACAAGTCATGAAGACTTTTCTCTCTTGTTTACAGCATTAGCTGTCCAGGGGGTTTCCAGGCTCCCACCAAAGAAGCAAATAGATGCCAGAAAGAAGCTAAGTAAAGCAGTGGAGAAACGCTTTCCTGATGACAAACTCCTCCTATTAGACACTCAACAAGAAGCAGCGATGCTGCTCAGGCAGTTGGCTAACCAGAAACAAAGGCATCTTGCCTTTCGAGATCGGCGGGCCTACCTGTTTGCTCACACTGCTGACTTTTTGCCTAGTGAAGAGAATAACTTGGTGGGCACCTTGAAAATCTCAGGCTATGTTCGTGGGCAGGGTCTGAATGTAAATAGTTTGCTGCATATCATTGGACACGGTGATTTCCAGATGAAACAGATAGATGCCCCTGTGGACCCTTTCCCTTTAAATCCTAGAGTGATCAAATCCCAAAAGGACCCAGGCATGACAATGGAGGTAAGATTTGTATTCTTAAAGACCGTGCATTATAGATTCATGTGTAAGCTGGCATAGGATGGGAACTAACTTCAGAGAAGTTAGTCTGTTTGCACACCTGGACAATTACACTAGTCCCTGGAGGTAACTCTAGTTCGAAATAAAGCAATAGTCAACTCCAAATAAGTTGATATATCATGTACTTATCCAGCACTTTTTAGGTTCCTTGCATAGCAGTTGGCTCTGAGTTTATGGTATATATGCTACCGAAGCAAGCACAGCTGAGATTATAGAGGACACATAAGCTATAGTGTCTTTCCTTAGCTTAATTAGGTCAGAAAAAAATGGGAAGTACCTGTTAAATAAAGATCGAGAAAGTGTGGTTGAGGTACACACCTGCAGTGGAAGTTGAGAGAGTAGAATAGCAAGCTTCACAGAAAATAGCTGACTCGAGGCAGGTATTGAGAAGGATGAATGTGATTTATGAGTTGAAAAGAGATGAAAGACTATCCTAGCAAACAGAGACAACATGAGCCTAGGCACAGATGGTCAAAGGGTTTCTTTGAACTCTGACGAAATCAGCTTGATGGGAGTAAGGTGGTAATGAATAGGTTGGCATGGGGCCAGATTATGAAAGGCCTCAACAGCCAAGCAGAGGTACAGGCTTAAAATGCTAGGAAATAGAACCATTTGAAAAATTTTGACAAGTTTTGGCTTTCTATTTCATTCTTCTGTTTGAGAACTATGTTATTTCTGGGTCTTTCTGATTATGTTAGATTTGGTAGATTTTTGGCTAATACTTGATTGACTATCAACTATTTTGGTTTTCAGATTTGTGCTACAGATGCTGTAGCTGATATGGAGGAAGACCTTAAGGTCCTAATGAAGGCAGACCCTGATAGACAAGAATCTTTGCAAACAGAGGTTATCCCAGATCCAATGGAGGGGGAGCAGACCTGGCCCACGGAGGAGGAGCTGAGTGAGGCACATGGTTGGTATTGGCAAACTTGAAATTCATCTGGCCTAGAATTGTGGGTTTTGTCTAGCTGCTTACAGTGAGGACCCTATAGGGTAGCATGGGATGAGGAAGTATTTGGAGGTCTGTCTTCTCTCACCTCCAAAGGCTGTATGTTTGCACTAAGCAAACAGTAGACACAGCTTTGCTCCATTTCTCAAAATTATGTTACTGTTTTCTAATGAACAGATAAATAACTTCTGATTCATTATAAGACTCATTTAGCTGTGTAAGTATTGCTGGTCCTGAGGCAGCTGAATTAAATTTGGAAGTAGTCTGCTCTACTCATAGTGCCTGACATAGTTCCTGGTGTTGGTAGAAATATCCAGTATCTTTCCTATGTAAGAATATCCACAGTATTAGTGGGAAGGAGGTATATGATTTACTTTATTCATCTGGGCTTTTACAGACTTATTGAAGGAAAGTTCCAAGGTGGTAAAGAAGGTTCCCAAAGGAACATCTAGTTATCAAGCTGAATGGATTTTGGATGAGGATGGTGAAAGTGGTGGGGAAGGCGATGAATATGATGATGTAGAACATGAGGATTTTATGGAAGAGGAATCTCAGGTAAGGAAATGGACTCTTGGGTAACTTCTGGGTACAGCCCCAAATGCAAGCAGGGTGCGTTCCTGACCTTAAGAGGTATGTGTGGTCAGTTTTTTAGAAATGACTTCTTAGTTGCCGAGAATGAAGACTTTGTTTTATAACTTAGTCTCTATTAGAATTGACATTGATTTGGACTGGGTATCTAGTAAAGTTATTTTATTTTTAGCTTAATGGCCTTTAGAGACGTGGGTTTCCTCTGAAATTATAATCTTCTACAGGATGAGGGTAGTGAAAAGGAAGAAGAGGAGGAATGTGAAACTATGACTATAGGAGAGTCTGTGCGTGACGATCTGTATGATGAGAAAGTGGATGAAGAGGCTGAAGAAAAAATGTTGGAGAAATATAAACAAGAAAGACTGGAAGAGATGTTTCCAGATGAAGTAGATACCCCCCGTGATGTGGCTGCTAGAATTCGGTTAGTCAACAAGTCTAAAATCAGTCAGTACATTTTTATTTAAAATTTATGTGGCTCAGAACTATGTCAGTGTGATGTAAAAGAAGAAAAACACATTGTCTTTGCTCCTGAAGGGCTAACATTGTATTTGGGAAGGTAAGACAGACATTCACATTCTAGACTGTGTAGTACAGACTAATAATGTTACAGTACTTTAATGAGGGAGAAATACTGTGGTTAATTAGCAAATGCTTCCTTTGGAGCTAATACGAATTACAGTATATAACATTTGGAGATTTGGGTAGAACAGCAAGAATAAAAGAATAAAGATGTAGATGATCGTGTCTGCTTTAAAGATGAGTCTGACTAAAGCCTGAGAGTTTATGTTGGATATTAGAGAGGAAAGGCTTTCATCGAGGACCCTAGGTTAGGTTAGGCTAAAGAGCCACTCCCTGATAGGCACCAGGGAGCCACTGTAGGTACTTATCCTTTGTCAGTAAGAAGCTGGGGTAGCCTTCTGGAATACTTGTTACCAAGCTGTTTCTTGGAGTATGGTCCTGACTTTGGTTGTTAGGTTATTTTGAGAGATAGTGATAGTTCTTTTAAGCTAAAGCCTTAGCCATTTTACAAGTGAGTTGAGTGAAAGGGTTAAGTAGCACCATATACATTTGACTATTAATTTCTTTGAAATCTCCTATTTTCTAGATTTCAGAAATACAGAGGCCTCAAGAGCTTCCGGACATCTCCATGGGATCCTAAGGAAAACCTTCCTCAAGATTATGCTCGGATCTTTCAGTTCCAGAACTTTATTAATACTAGGAGACGCATCTTTAAAGAGATTGAAGAAAAAGAAGTTGAAGGAGCTGAGGTATCTGGCCTTCCTTTGTCCATCCCTGTAATTTGCTTTTGTTTGCCAAGGTGCCCCTTCCTTTACTACTTCTGTTGGCATGAGTTACCTTACTTTGTTTTGTGCTGCCTATAGCTGAATTAGAAGAGCCACTGAATCACTGATAAGAGTGATACTGGGAACAAGAAGCTATCAGAGATGTTAACTGGAAAAGCTTAATCTGGGTAGTTGAGGCATCTGTGAAGGGCAATTTTGAAGGGTGAGGATTGGCTTTATGGTAGTCTGATACTTTTAACATATGTGGTGAAATGCTTCATTGCTATTAAGACCTTAAGGGTACCTACATAATTGTTTTCTCCTTTATTCTGGCAGGTTGGCTGGTATGTCACACTTCACGTGTCTGAAGTCCCTGTCTCAGTTGTTGAGCACTTCAAGCGAGGAGCACCCTTGATTGCATTTTGTTTACTACCTCATGAACAGAAGGTGAATGAATGTCTTGTGGGAAATGCGGAGTTGTGACACTTTCCAACCAGTTTTGTCTAGCAGTCTAAAGTTTTAAGTGACTGACGATTTGTTCATTGGGATGTGAAAAGTCTGCCTTTTTGGTAAGGAGTCAGAGAGGATGACAGAGAAGTCAATGATGGTTTTACCCAACATGTCTGAACCTGTCTGATGCATCTCAGTGATGCAATCTCTGTGTGGTTCTGAGACTTCTGTGAGATAAATACCTTTGTCAGGTCAGATTTTAACCAAAGGTTGGCAGCCATAAAAATAAAGAGGGTTTATGCCAAGGTGTAGATCTTTTTTCTCTTGGTGGCCAGCAGTCATGTAGGTTGGGGTGTATGTGAGAGCTTTGGCCTTTAGCCAGTGTGAGTAGGGGTTGAGGCAAGAAGGGTGTTGAATGAGTGGTTTCCAGGCATGAGGTGAGTGAGTGACTTGCAGGCTCTGACTTTGTGGCAGCTGTTGAGCTCTTCCATGTTAGACGTGGGAAGGTCAGCTAGTGTAGCAGGTATGTGAAAGCTCTAAAAACCAGCCTGTTTTCAATTCAAATGCCAGTTGTTTGTGAAGGTAAAAGATGAATCTGTGTCTTGTCACCTACACTCAACTATAAATTAGTTTTGTCATAAAGTGAATCTAATCTGCCAGCTTGGTTTGCCTTCTTCGAGGTTAGGCTATTCTGTTCCTAGATATGAAGTTCTGTTTTTCTGCTTGGTCCCCAGATGTCAGTACTGAATATGGTGGTGAGCCGGCACCCCGGCAACACTGAACCTGTGAAAGCCAAAGAGGAGCTGATATTCCACTGTGGATTCAGGCGCTTCCGAGCGTCACCTTTACTCTCTCAGCACACTGCAGGTAAGTACCATCTTACTGTCGTTTAGGGGACTGTGACTTTGAGGGGTGCAGAATGCACCACTTCCAATTCTAGGTCTTTGGGTTAGAGGTATTTTCAGTACTCTGGTTTAGGAGCCAATGATGTTTCCATTCAAAATGTCTGAACCTGTCTGAAGCATCCCAGTGATGCAACCTCTATGTGGTGCTGAGGCTTCTCTGCCATGAGTATTTGTTGCAGAGTAGATTTTGAATAGGAGTTGGCAGCTTTATAACAATGGTGTGTCCTAGAACCCTTAGCATCCAATGTGCCGGTGGCAGTGAGGGTGAAAGCTAGGGCTGACCCACATTTGGGTAAAGCAGAGGTATGTAGCTTCTAGGATGTTGGGACTGGATAACAGTTTGGAAAGTGGAGACCAGGGGCAGTTTTATGATAAAAATGATTATACTCTTACACATTAGGAGAGAGATGTTTTGCAGTAACTCAGGGGCTTCTGAACATTACCTACACACTCAGTTCTCAGCAATGGCCGAAGGAAGGTGATAAATGGGTGCCCTGGATAATTTTTGTTCTCACCAGCCATGGTGTCTAAATGAGGGATTCATTTCTCTTTCTCTTAAAATATTTTATTTTTCTATAACTTCAAAAGGGGAGAGGTAAAGACAAGATCTAGACAGTTTTCAAGGTCAGAGGTTGGTAAAGTACGGCCTTGGGCCAAATCTGTCCCACTGCTTGCTTTGTTAAATAGTTTTATTGGAACACAGTTGTGCTTTTTAATTGAATTTTTAAAAAATGTATTGTCTGTGACTGTTTTTATGCTAGTGACAGAGTTGAGTAGTTGAGACAGAGACTGGCCACAAAGCCTAAAATATTTACTAGCAGATCCTTTATAGAAAATGTTTGCTGAAGACTAAGAGCTGTTGATTTAGTGCAGTGCTTTTCTGGAAAGCACTGATTCTCAAATGAGGTATGGGTGATGGGTATCAGAACCACCTGGAGAACTTTATCAAACCCCGAATATGGTTCAGGCTCTAAGATTTTGCCTCCAGTTGAAAAATCACTCTGATACATTTGGGTTGTATCTTTCAGTTGTATTGAGGCCATAAAATATTTGGAGAAACACTACTAGTTGCATTAGGTTTAAGAGTTGTAGTGGTGCAGCTTCTGAGAGGCCTCTGGATTGCCTATGGTTTCTCAAAATATTTTTTGGTTTTTCTTTTTTAACCTTTATTATGGCAGCGGATAAACATAAATTTCAGAGATTCCTTATTGCTGACATGGCCCTTGTGGTGACAGTCTATGCCCCAATCACTTTTCCTCCTGCATCTGTGCTGCTTTTCAAACAGAACAGCAATGGTAAGTTGAATTCACAGAGGTGAACAGGACTGCAGGTCCTTAATAAGTTTAACTGTTTCTGTGTTGAGTTTGAGAACCAAACGGTACAAAAAAAGGTAATGATGGTTTTCAAAATATCTCAATCTCAGCCTCACAGTGGTTTTAAGGCAGGGATGACAAATGGGGTTTTATCTTGCTTGCAAACCTTAGCTAATTGTTAGAGGGTGCTCAGAGTGCTACATTTAGGGTAGGTCCTGGGAACAAGTTCAGCTGGAATATCATTTAGTGATCTTTGCCATGGACCCAGGAGGGCAACATAGTATATCCCTACTTTCAGGTTTCCCTAAAATCTTGCATAGGTCTTTAAATAGACTGGACAATAAATGAAGGCTTTGACCTACAGACTCCTGCTTCTCTGCCTTTCCCCCTTAGGAATGCACAGCCTCATTGCCACAGGCCATCTATTGTCAGTGGACCCAGACAGAATGGTCATCAAGAGAGTTGTTCTGAGTGGCCATCCTTTCAAAATTTTTACTAAGATGGCTGTAGTGCGTTACATGTTCTTCAACAGAGGTAGGTGTGAAGGATGGGATCCGATTGCCTTTGTGGGGTGAAGGAAGGTTTGGGTTTATATCTTGTGGGTAAGTGTTTCATCTTGGTCCTCTGTGTGTTTCATTCTAAGAGGATGTGCTGTGGTTTAAACCAGTGGAATTGAGAACAAAGTGGGGCCGCAGGGGACACATAAAGGAGCCTTTAGGTAAGAGAATTGGGATTTGAGACCTTGTCTAGATTTCCCCAATGCTACTAAATGACTATTGGGTTAGAAGACCACTGCCTTAAAAATTTCTATTTTAATTTGACCAACTTGCTCTATTTTCTTTCTAGGTACTCATGGCCACATGAAGTGCAGTTTTGATGGAAAGTTAAAATCTCAGGACACAGTACTGATGAACCTCTATAAACGAGTTTTCCCCAAATGGACTTATGATCCATATGTACCAGAACCGGTACCTTGGGTGAAAGATGAGATTTCTTCAACAGTGCCTGAAGTAGACATGGAATAATGGATTCAGTCTCATTGCTAGTAGTTAGCACTTTAGGGATGAGAGCCTGTAGGCTGTGATTGGGCAGTCTGTTTTCTACTTTGGCCTAGAGGTCTCCTGCTCCTTTTTACAGAAGGCTTTTCTTGGCCATGACAAGTTGTCTTAGTTAAGTATGGATTTTTTTCTATTGCTACTCAGTCCAAAAAAACTATTAAAATCTTATTGAAATATCCGTTCTCCATTACGATTTTGAAAGTTGTGTGAAAGGGGAAGATGGGAAGTTGATGGTGACCAGGAAAGAAAAATTTCAAGTATCTAGACACTGAATCCCTTCTCTTCCTTTTGCACAAATTAAACAGAAACAAACTTATAAGGAACTGGCCTGTCAGCCTGCTTCACCCAAGTTAGGGAGGTTAAATCTACGTTTCCACCACTGAGCACAATACAAATATTCTTTACTTCTGGGGAAATTGTTTGAAAACGCTGAGACAGCACAGCAGCCACTCCAACACCAGCTGTAGGTTCAATAAGCAATTTCATCCTCTCCCACACCAGCTGGGTTGCATACTGTTGGTATAGAAGGGAGTAAGAATTAGTGAAATGGGAGATGAGGAAAGAGCCTAGTTGGTTGGCCCTTACAGTTAAAGGCCAGATGGGGATATATGCCCAATCTGAATTTTCCTGTTGCTCTATGTTTATGCTTGCCAGTGAAGGACGGGGCTTATTTTTCATTTGAACTCTGTTTCTACTGTCTTGATATGTCTAGGGTAACCCTCCCATATGTTATGAAATCACCTAGTCAGGTCCCCAGTGGGTAGAGATGCTGCTTAACTACAGGAGGATTTTTTGCCTGAGAAGTTACTCCACTCTTTTATTATTTCCTTTCCTCTTGGAGACTCACCTTAATTTCATCCTCCGTAACGGTGAAGACGTCATCCACGAGGTCCTTTATAATAGGCCAGGTGTTTAAGCCAATGCTCGATTTGACACCATCTGCTATGGTTTCTGGAGGATAGGGATTGGGGGTCAACTCCCCTTTCAGTTTGGACTGGTAGCAGTCATCTGCATTCAAGGGTTCAGCAGCATATACCTTCACATTAGGTCTTAGAGCCTAGGAACAAGAATAGTAGATACTTTACAGCTAGTTACAGCATTTTGCTTGCATGCTTGCAGTAAAATAGGCAGTACAGTTAACACAGTTCTGCCCAACTAAAAGAACCTTTCTTTTAACCCATGTACTGGCCTTCAGTTGCCTAGATCACAGCTGGGTCTGCTGGTAACAAAAAGAGTAGCCCCTGACTTGGACAGTAGTTGGTGAGATGGAATTCAAGGAAGGGACTGTAAGGGTGCCACTGACTGTAACTGCTTTTGTGCTGTGTAGTTGTCACGTCACTAAGAAAAGGGTAGTGAGGCAGAAAAGGGCCTTGCATCTCAAATGCCAAGGGATGATGGGAAGGAATGGCAATTAGGGGGAATGTTAAGCACGTATTCCCAATGTACTATGATGTAAAATAAACTATGTATAAAATAGATAAGTAAGTTTATACTGTATAGCACAGGGAACTGTATTTGATGTAGCTTATGGTGAAAACAATATGAGAATGAATATATACGTATGACTGACGCATTGTGCTGTACACCAGAAATTGACACAACATTGTAAACTGACTATACTTCGATTAAAAAAAAGTAAAAATAAATAAAATGAACTCTTCTGTGCCCGAACTGGGGAGTCCTCTAGTAGCTGTTTTCTCACCTTAACTGTAATTGCTATTCCAGCAACCATTCCTCCTCCTCCGACAGGTACCACCACTGCATCTACCAAGGGAACCTTCAGTGAAAAGAATAAAGTATAAATAGGTCTATTAATAACCAGCTTTATGTGCACATATAAAATAATAGGTTCTACAGCTAAGCATCAGCATTACCAGTAGTTAAACAAGAACTAACGAAGCTTTTACCTGGTTCAGCACTTCCATGGCAATTGTCCCTTGCCCAGCTATCACTGCAGGCTCCTGGTTAGGATGTACCATGATTCCTTCTGTTTCTTCCATAATTCTTTTTGTAACATTTTCTCTGGACTGAAAGTACATTAATTTAGCTTAAGAGTTCCAACACATTAGATTCAGTCACTTAACACTTTAATGACCACTTATTTTTTCAGACTTTTTTTTTTTTGGCACGGGTTATATTTGAACAAAACAGTTCCTGCACTTAGTGGAGTTATGTTCTAATATGGTGGGGCAGCGTGGAATTTAAGTAAATATGCCTAAATGCTTTGGAGAAAAATGATTAAAAATCATTATAGGGTGCTGAGGAAGGGCCTCTGGTAAAGTGACATTTTAAGAGATTTGAACAAGTCCTGCAGATCTCCAGAATATTACAGGGAGAGAGTAATATCAAGTGCAAAGACCACACAGTAGGAGTGCTTGGCCTTTCTGAGAAACTGCTAAGTGTGGTTGGTGTGGAGTGTTTAGGGGAGAGTAGTAGTAGGAGATGGAAGTCAGAAAGATGGTAATGAGCCAGTTCATCTGGGCCACAAATGACTGCAGTTGGTTTCCATTGTGTATGAGATGGGAAACCATTGGAGGATTTTGAGCTGACAAGAGACAAGTTCTAACTTACTAAATGGATAGCTCTGGTTGCTCTTTTGGAAACAGATTAGTGGGGCAAAGGTGGAAACAGAGACCAGTTAGGAGGCTACTGAATCTAGATAAGGACTGGTTTTGGTCGGAATCACGGTAGTGATGGTAGAGGCTGTTAGAAGTAGTTAGATTTTGGAAGTATTTTGAAAGTAGGTCTAAGATTTGGATGAGGTGTATGAGAGTTACTAAAGATGACTCCATTTTTTTAAGGGTAACTAGAAGGATAAAAGTTGCCATTTATTCATAGGGAAGGCTGGAAGTGGAACAGTGTTAAGATCAGGAGTTCAGATTTTAGATGTAGTAAGTTTGAAATGCCTTTTAATACATCCAGGTAGGGATATACAAATCTGGGTTAAGAGCAAAGTTTAGGGCTGGAATTACAGAGTGCAGGTGATATTTTAAACTATGAGACTAATGAGATCATCGAAGAGTGAGTGTAAAAAGAAAAAAGGCTGGGCATGCTCACATTCATAGCTGAAGAGGAAACAACAAGGAGGACAGAGGCAGCAGCCAGGAAAGTAGGAAGAGAAGTTTCATTTGACAATGAAAACTGTTAAGGTGGTGCTGAATGATGCTCTCTTCCTTACCTCATCACTCGGCTCACTGTACACTATAGAGGCTCCATAGGCTTGTATTGCCAATTTTTTACAGTTGGGAGCTGTTTCAGGCACTACAATATAAGCAGGAATCCCTGGGAGGGAGAAACATGTTAAATGAGTACAAATCAGGAGAATTTAGGATAGAAACTTCTGTTCAGTTTGCCTGTAATCAGTTAGGGACTTGGAAGTTTATTTCCCACAGCTATCACCAATCTAGTGAAAGTTAAGGATATTTTATAAACAAGATTACACTGTATAGCACAGGGAAATATACACAAAATGTTATGATAAATCACAGAGAAAAAAATGTGACAATGAGTGTGTATATGTCCATGAATGACTGAAAAATTGTGCTGAACACTGGAATTTGACACAACATTGCAAAATGATTATAAATCAATAAAAAATGTTAAAAAAATTAAAAAAAAGAAAGTTAAGGATATTTTTCCAGTCTTCTCTGATGATCCTGCCCAGTACCCTGAGAAACTAGGCAAGTACCTTCCAATTTTGCAGCATAGGAGAGAGCCTGGCCATGGTTTCCACTGCTGTGAGTAACAACAGCTTTAGGCTTCTTTTCTGAAGTGGCAGAAGCCAAGCATCTGATTGCATTAAGGGCACCACGAATCTGGAAGAGAGGGATGATGAATTAATACATTTGATTTAAAAGTTTCTTTTAAAATAACCCAGGAGGTTTTTCTAGATTTTTCTCTTCCTAACACTGCACATTCAGTCCATCACTAAATCTTATTGATTTTATCTCCTAAATATCTCATGTCCATCTTCTTTGCCACTACCTTGGTGAGATCTCATGTCTCAGCTTGGAGTTATCAAACCTCAACTAATCCTGCTTCACTGATCATTCTCATCTAACATTTCCAGTAGATTATGAAAGTGATCTTTTAAAAACAAATGTTCTCTTTTTCATTGACTGCCTATTTGTGTAAGACAAGTACAAATTCCTTACAAGTTGCAGCCTTTCTAAACACATCTACTACCTCTGTCACTGTTGTACCCATTCTGAATTGCTTCTAGTTTCCTTCCTACCAGATTGGCTCACACCTCTGTATCTCCACATGCTGTTACCTCTACCTGTAGTTCTTTTCCCCTACTCCCTGATCTGGCTAAAAGTACTCATCCTATGGGGGTGGGGGTATAGCTCAGTGGTAGAGTGCATGCTTAGCATGCATGAGGTCCTGGGTCCAATCCCCAGTACCTCCATAAAAAAAAGAAAAAAAAGTACTCATTCTATTAAACTTGGATCAAACATCACCTTGTTCAACTTCCTTGCTCTCCCAGGCAAAATAGGTATTTCATTCTCTGTTCTTCCATGGCACTTTGTATTTCTCTTAAGACACTTCTCATCAACCTATTCGTTGACCAGCCTGTCTTCCCCTGCAAATATGGATATAGGGCAAGGTCTACTGTAGCTACATCTAGTATA